CTAGCGAGAGCAACAAGATGGTGGTTAGCCTTAAATCGGAGGTAGACTTTCTCAAACAAGAACTTGAGAAAGCAAAAGGTTACGAGGAGAGATTGATAGAGAAAGAGGCTTCCATTGAACAGCTCAACGTTGAGCTAGAATCAGCCAAGATGGCTGAATCTTATGCACGTAGTGTAGTTGAGGAGTGGAAAATTAGGGTTGAGGAATTAGAGATGCAGGTCGAAGAAGCAAATAAGTTGGAGAGGTCTGCATCAGAGTCTTTAGATTCAGTCATGAAACAACTCGAGGGAAACAGTGAGTTGTTGCAGGATGCAGAATCTGAAATTTCTGCTCTTAAAGGGAAGGTCAGCTTGCTGGAAATTACAATTGGAAGACATAGAGGGGATCTTGAGGAGTCAGAACTTTGTCTTGAGATGGCCAAAAAAGAAAATTATGAAATGGCAAAAATGGTTGAGTCGCTTAAGTTTGAGCTTGAAACTCTGAAGGAGGAGAAAATGCAGGCTTTAAGCAATGAGAAGCTTGCCTCATCCAGTATTCAAACCCTATTAGAAGAGAAAAACAAACTCATAAATGAGTTGGAAAATTCTAGGGATGAAGAAGAGAAGAGCAAGAAAGCAATGGAAAGCTTAGCTTCTGCCTTACATGAAGTCTCCGCAGAAGCAAGAGAAGCCAAAGAAAAGCTGCTGTCTAATCAAGCTGAGCTTGAGCGCAATGAGTCGCAGATAGAAGACCTGAAAATGGTCTTGAAAGCAACCAACGAAAAGTATGAAGGCATGCTTGATGATGCAAAACATGAAGTCTATCTTGTTACAAGTAACCTTGAACAATGCAAGACTGAGTTCCAATACGCAAAGGCCGACTGGGAGAAGAGAGAACTTCACCTGGCGAATTGTGTGAAACATTCAGAAGAAGAAAACTCTTTGAAGGAAAAAGAAATTAACAGGCTGCAAAGTTTGCTCACAAAATCAAATGAAGAAGCTTGTACTTTGAAGGACGAAGAAGCCCAGTTGAAAGAGAGCTTGAAGGAAGTTGAATCTGAAGTTATCTATTTGCAGGAAGCTCTTGCAGAAGCAAAGGCTGAGAACATGAAACTAAAGGAAAGCATTTTGGACAAAGAAAATGAGTTCCAGTGTCTTGTTCATGAAAATGATGAGCTCCGAGACAAGGAGGCAGCTTCTCTTAAAAAGGTTGGGGAATTGTCTAGGTTACTGGAAGAAGCTGTGGCGAAGAAGCAAGCGGAGGAAAACGGTGAGCTAACAGATAGTGAGAAAGACTATGATTTGCTTCCAAAGGTTGTTGAATTCTCTGAAGAGAATGGGCATGGAGGAGAAGAGAAACCGAAAATGGACCTTGCACCAAGTCAATGTGAGGAACCCAAGAAGGAAAGTTCATGGGAAGAGAATAATAGTGTTGTTACCAATGGCAAGGCTGAGGAAATGGATTATGCTAAAAGTGATAATGTGAATGGGAAACCAAAAGAAGATGAGAGCAAAGAGAAGGAAGATGACTCAGTAGAGGTGGAGTATAAGATGTGGGAGAGCTGCAAGATTGAAAAGAAGGAATTCTCGCCTGAGAGGGAACAAGAGCAGGAATCGTTTGAAGAGGAAGTGGAGTCAAAGGTGGGGGGTGGCGAGCGGTTTGATGAGATAAATGGAGTAACTTCAACGGAAAGCGTGGACGAAAGCAGGACCTCTCCATCAAAGCAACAAAAGAAGAAGAAGCCTTTACTCCGCAAGTTCGGAAGCCTACTGAAGAAGAAGGGCACAAGCAACAACCAGAAGTAGGGATTGTTGTTGCATGAATTGTTTCATACGTTTGTTTTTCATTTTTTGGTGCTGATATTTTCAGAATAGGTTAAGAATGAACAAGTTTGTATTATGTTTAGGGTTTTTTTATTTTTAATATTTGGTTTCTGATCTGGGCAGTATCTTGTATGTGATGGGACTTTCATCTGGTCATTCCTTCTCCCTTGTACAATCATAGATTGATATTGTGGGAAGGAGTGGTAACATGAACTTGTATCTTGACGTGCTTTCATCTGTTTTAAAAGGAGATGTATATCATTGTTATTTGTTATTTGTCGCAAGGAGTGTTGTGGACATGAACTTGTATATTTTGATTTGATCAGTTACCCTTCCCTAGTTGATATTATTGACCTCCTGGATTGTTGGGGATGGCTTTGTGCACAGGTACGCTTTCAGCTTCGGGTTACACATTCAATGCAACGGGGTTGCTCTTTCATTTTCGGTGCCTAGGAAATAGAGTACTCAAAAAATTGTTGGACCAGTGGTTTCCACATTTCCTCGAATTAAATCAGTTTCTCTGTTGATATCGCAGCTATCACTTATTTCATATTTGAGTGGTGTTAGGAAGATTAAATTTGTAGATAAAGTTTTGGAAACTAAATGACATGGAAGTTGATGATTGATTTATTACTTACACGTTGATAAATATGTTTATTTCTATTAGTGACATATTATTTAATTAGGTAAAAGATTGTTTTCTACCCTCATGTTTCGTGGTTTTCAACATTTAGTACATCAAGTTTTTTTTGTCTCAGATTTATACCTAAAGTGTAAATTTTGGGACAATCTCATACATATGTTAGTCAAACTGTTAAGTTTTCTGTTAACTGTGACGTGGCGCACTGACTGGGCGCCACGTGTTATCCACGTTTTTCTTTTTTTTTCTTTTCTTCTTCCTTCTCACTCATGTTTCGTGGTTTTCAACATTTAGTACATCAAGTTTTTTTTGCCTCAGATTTATACCTAAAGTGTAAATTTTTTCTTTTCTTCTTCCTTCTCACTCATGTTTCGTGGTTTTCAACATTTAGTACATCAAGTTTTTTTTGTCTCAGATTTATACCTAAAGTGTAAATTTTGGGACAATCTCATACATCCGTTAGTCAAACTGTTAAGTTTTCTGTTAACTGTGACGTGGCGCACTGACTGGGCGCCACGTGTTATCTTATCCACGTTGTTCTTCTTCTTTCTTCTTCTTCTTCTTCTTCCTCCTCCTCCTCCTCCTCCTCCTCCTCCTCTCCTCCTCCTCCTCCTCCTCCTCCTCCTCCGAATTTGCCCAGATTCAGTTTTTTTTCTTTTTCTTCCTCCGAATCTTCCGAATCTACCCAAATTCAGTTTTTCTTTTTTTTTTTCTTCTTCTTCTCTTCTTCTCTCTTCTTCTTCTTCTTCTTCCTCTGAATCTGCCCAGATTCAGTTTTTTTTTTTTCTTCCTCCTTCTTCTCCTTCTTCCTTCCCCTTCTTCGTTCTTCTTCTTCTTCCTCCGAATCTGGGGAAAGATGAAAGTTTTTTTTTTTTTTTTTTGAGGAAGAAGAAGAAGAAGAAGGAGACGAAAAAAAAAGTTGCAGTCGGAGGAAGAAGAAGAAGGACCTCCTCCTCCGAATCTGCCCAGATTCAGTTTTTTTTTCTTTTTCTTCCTCCGAATCTTCCGAATCTACCCAAATTCAGTTTTTTCTTTTTTTTTTCTTCTCTTTTTTCTTCTTCTTCTTCCTTCTCTTCTTCTTCTTCTTCTTCCTCTGAATCTGCCCAGATTCAGTTTTTTTTTTCTTCCTCCTTCTTCTCCTTCTTCCTTCCCCTTCTTCCTTCCCCTTCTTCGTTCTTCTTCTTCTTCCTCCGAATCTGGGGAAAGATGAAAGTTTTTTTTTTTTTTTTTGAGGAAGAAGAAGAAGAAGAAGGAGGACGAAAAAAAAAGTTGCAGTCGGAGGAAGAAGAAGAAAGACCTCCTCCTCCGATTCTGCCCAGATTCAGTTTTTTTTTCTTTTTCTTCCTCCGAATCTTCCGAATCTACCCAAATTCAGTTTTTTCTTTTTTTTTTCTTTTTTTTTTCTTCTTTCTTCTTCTTCTTCCTTCTCTTCTTCTTCTTCTTCTTCCTCTGAATCTGCCCAGATTCAGTTTTTTTTTTCTTCCTCCTTCTTCTCCTTCTTCCTTCCCCTTCTTCGTTCTTCTTCTTCTTCCTCCGAATCTGGGGAAAGATGAAAGTTTTTTTTTTTTTTTTTTTTGAGGAAGAAGAAGAAGAAGAAGGAGGACGAAAAAAAAAAGTTGCAGTCGGAGGAAGAAGAAGAAGGAGGAAGAAAAAAAAAGTTACAGTCTGAAGAAGAAGAAGAAGGAAGAAGAAAAGAAAAGAAAAAAAAAACGTGGATGACACGTGGTGCCCAGTCAATGCGCCACGTCACAGTTAACGGGAGATTTAACAATTTGACTAACGGATGTATGAGACTGTTCCAAAATTTACATTTTAGGTATGAATCTAAGACGAAAAAAAATTGACATACTAAATGTTGAAAACCACAAAATATGAGGATAATAAACAATCTTTTACCCTATTTAATTTGTAAATTTAGTCTTCTTAATATTATCCTTTACATTTTCGTTCCCTCAAATCTCAAACTCCGAACCCGAACCTATCTGGGTCAGTCTCATGGGTGGGCCTTTCTTATGCAATCATTTCAATTTCCAATGCACGTCAATTAATATGCAGTAATAGAGTTTTACCAAAAAAATATGCAGTAATAGAGAAAGAAAAAGAAAAGTAGAAAATATATAAAAAGACCAATCCATCCCCTCGTTGGTCCTCGTCCTACATGTGAAATTACTGATTTAGACTTTTTTTTTCAAGTGTTTTTTATATAAATTTTTTAACCTCTTACTAATCTATTTAACTCTTAAGTCTAGTTTGAATGTATTTTTAGAATAATAAAAACCGCATTTGATAAAACTATTTTTAAAATTAATCATTAAAAAAATTTAAGTTCTGAAAAAAAACAATTTAATTACTTTATACAAGTATTTCTTTTAACAAAAGCACTTAAAAATTTAAAATAATTTCATCAAAACTCTTATTATTTCAAAAACCTTTTCCAATTAATTTTGTTAATTGATTTAATTTAAATCAAAACATAAATGAATTTCATAAGATGTGAAAATCACTAACCTTTGCAAAATTTAACTACTACTAAGTAGAGGATTGGCAAATAAATAGATACTTGATGGTTGTTTTCTTTCATTCACCAAAATCAGACGAACGCGGCGAAGAAATTAGATACTTTTTTAAAAGCTCATGAGTCAGATTACAATTCAGAATTGAGAGAGTTGAGAGATAACGAATCGAATCGAATCGAGAGGATGTGGTTTGAGATCATCTGCGGGCTGATAATATACAAGTTTTACAGGTGCTTCGTCTCCTCCGATGACGACGACGTCTTGGACGTGGAGACCTCTGATTCCAAGGCTCTCTTCTCCGTCGGCGACAGACTTGCCAAGCTTTACGGCGGCAAGGTCTACGTCGGCCTTCGCATTCCCGATGCTGATACCGCTTCCCCTCAGACCATCGATTTGGTCCTCGTCTCCAAAGGGTAACGCCTAAACTAAACCCTCCTGTGTATATATATTTTTTATTATTTTCAATTGTTTTTTTTTTTTTGCTGTCTATTATGCTGATGAATCTATCTGTTGTTTGTCTTCGTTGTGTTTTTTCTTTACAAAAAATCAAATTCAAAATAATAAAAATGAAAAAAGGGAGGCAGTGGTCGTGAGTGTAAAGAATTTATCAGGATTAGTTTCAGTGAATGCGGATGGCAGCTGGGTTTGTGAAAGCCACAGTAGTAATCACAAAGCGCACCACCTACCTGACCCTGTAAGACCCTTCTTCTTCACTCCCCTTAATTTAGCATTTCTTCTTCTACTCCTAAGTCCTAGCAAGCATCTTTGTGTGGACTGTTAAATGCGATCGCAGATCGCAAATCATTTGTAACGGGGCAACACTTTGGTTGAAGGTTTATTTCATGACTCACCAGTGCAGAGTTTGCATTCTCCATTCCTTTTTCTTTGTGCATTCCATTTTCCTAGACAATGGTAGCATGGATATTCATTCATGACAGTCTCCCGTTTAGTCTTTCTCATCATTGAGTATTACACTTCTTTTCAGGTGTTGGAGACCCAAAAACAAGCTTCAATTCTTGAATCATATTTAGAACAAAGAGGGTGTGCTTTACCACAAGGATATTTGTCTTGGAAAGTAATACTTTCCCATCCAAAAGTTTGGTACGTTGTGGAGTCCTCTCGTGTTTTCAATTGCTCTAATTTATTATTACTTGGTCTTCTCTGAGTTCTATTTCCCTCCAAATAGCTAGTGCTTTGCTTTCTCATGTTTCTTGCTTCGAACATTACTAGTGAACAAAGACCGATTCAAGAACATTTCTTCAACTATCAAGGGGGGCGCTTAAGAGGGTTTGACATGTAGGTGTAGATATATGTGGTTGAGAGGTATTGACGTTTAAAACCATGCATTGCAAATGGTTTTTAAGAAGGAATTTTAGGATGGTGCAACTGCATTTGAATCTAATTACTTTTCATGCTAACATTTCTTACTTTTCTGTGCATCGAAGTCTTAGTGTCTTACTTACATTTATGTATTTTTTTTGTAGCACCACTCAGTCAAGCAATTTTCCATCAGAGGTTGTAACCTACGACCAGTTGATGCAACTGAAACCGGAACCAAAAAACATGTTTTCTGGTTGGATTAAGGGTGCCTTCCGTGGTGGAAAGAAGGAGATGCAAGAATCTATATATCAGAAGCTTGATTTCATTCTTAGTACGGCTCCAATGTGGGATAGGTTTGTTGCCCTTTACTTTTAAAGTTTTCTGTTCAATTTTCCTGGGAATTGGGATTTGGTGTTATCTTATAAGCCATGGCGAAACCGGCTCAGCGCCAACCTTATATGATTCTCAATTATAATACTCAATATACACTACAAACACAGTACTAAATATATAGATATCCAAATGTCAATAAACCAACTACGAAGATCTTTGGGGTCAAATTCCTTAACACTGGAGGCAAAGTCAGTGGGGATTTGGGCAGCCTCCTTAACTCTGCTGACTCTACTCATTAAGTCATTCCTTTCCATGCAAGTTGGAATTACAGGGAAATAGGCTGCTCGATGCACGATGAATTCATTTATGTGGATACCGGTTTGTGTTTTTTGATTGGCCTGCAGGTTGGAGCTGGAAGGTAGTAAGTATGTTCTTGGAGAATTTCTGGAATTTAAGGGTAAGCAGGAAGATGTTCAAGCTTTGAAAGGTATCAAAAGATCAAAAATTGGCCGCCTTGTTGTCCAAAAGACAAGCATGTTTGGATTTGGTAATTCTCCAAGTTCTTATCTCTCTCTATTGAGCATTATTTATGCTGAAGTAATAGAAAATGATCAAGGATGCAAAGGCATACATCTTGATTAAGGTTTGGAACTTGGAATTTTAAAATCGTTGGAATAGACATTGCATTTAGGCACATGTTTAAATATTGGCCCTTTTATTTGTGGCAGCCCCTTCAAGGCTTCAAGTTCTGTACTCTCCTCGTGATTATCGGAGCGAAGGAGCTTCAGCTTCCGAGTGGATGGAGGTAAATGTAAGGTCTAGTACAGAGGTCCTCTTCCAACCAGAAAATTCTTCTAAAGTCCGCAAGTTTAAGCTCTCTTCAGTCGTCTCTATGTCACTGAGTGCTTAAAGATTCCTCGTGCTGAATTCACCCACACATCTGCAGGTTGGAAGTAGCAGCCTTGAATTATATGTGTAATTGTCTCGATCCTTGTACCGTTGATTTCTTTTGGATATTGCGGGGATGTAGATATGAAAATGTTAACAGGAATTCGAATTAAACATTACAATTTTTTTCTTGAGGAAAAATACTTGGGTGCGACTGTAGAGCTGTCATGTGGTTACTTATCGCGTGTGAACTGAAACATCATGTGGCAATGTCGCACCCAAGTAGTTATGGTTCTTTAGGCCATTGTGTAATTTGTGTTGAAGAATGAATGATATAGTATAAACTAGAAGGATCCAAACATGGGATGCATGCATGATGCATGTGCATGCGTTACAAGTTAAGACTTAAAAGAGTAGGAAAAGAGAAGATTGGATTGGTTGAAAGTGAAAATTCCTGTTAAAAGTAGTATATATAGATAAAGCAAAGAAACTCTACAAATTCTTATCAAAGCGTTCATATGTAAAGCACACTTAATTCACAAGCATTCGAGGTTTCGTTATCAACTGTAGTATACTGGTACTAGATTCAAAATTAATCGCGGAGTTGAAGGGCAGTGTCAAGGTCGACCATGAGTTTGTTGAGTTTCTTGTTACTTATCTTCTGTTGGTACACCTCCATTGTCTCTGCCTCCTCCAAACTGCAAATGTACGTTTCAAGTTTAACCACAAAATTGTCTAAATCATTTCATTTCAGACAAGATAGAGGGAGGGAGGGAGAGAGAAGCAAAGCATGAATTCAAACCTTTGGCTTTGGCTTGGGCTTTGGCTTTGCGTTTGGAGAGATGAAGTTTGAGAAGGTGGCAACAGCATGCGGGCAAGCTCAACGGCATCTCTGTGGCAATTGATGACTCTGTCGAAGCATACGTATCTTCCGTAGGATGACACGTCTTCAAAGACGGAGATGTGCGCGTCCACAATGAACTTGAGATCTACAGTCACCAACAGCCCGTCTTGGTACATCTCAGCCGTTCCTTTCAGATAAGGGTCCGTGATGGTGAGATCGGGGCCTAGCAACAGCCCCCCATTGATGGACACCATGTTCAGTCCTCGGTCCATTGCTAGAGCCCACGCTGTCCTCTCGGCCAGGGTCTTGGAGAGGGCGTGCCAGAGCTGATGTAAAATTACCCAACTGTTAAAACTGAAAACCCATGTACTAACATGCTTTATGCGGTCAACGTCAGGGTAATGGTGCTCAACTGAAATTCAGCTCATTTTTTCATCTACGCGATAACAAAGAGACATGATTGTGAAATGAAATGGTACCTTGAATTTTCTACAAAAATTGACATCGCTCCAGTTTCTCTCGTCACTGCCACGGGACGAGGAGGACGCCGACGAGGATGCATTACGGTCGTCCCTCCAAATGACAGCTGTTACAGAGGATGTAAAGACTACTTTGTGTATGGTATCAGTTTGGGCACAAGCTTCCAGCACATTATGAGCTGCTCTCACCTCTGCCTCTGCCATAAATTCCTGCATCAAATATCATATATAAATATAATTAGCATAATTAATCTGGATTGAGTAAAGGCAAATGAGTCCGTCCATATTGAAATGGATGAGAGACGTACATCATAAGTGGGGTGTCTGAAGGAGGCTCGAAGGAGTAGAAAAGGGCAGAGCATCCTTTCAAGGCGTCCACAATGCTGTGGTAGTCAAAGGGGTCTGAACGGAATACCCTCAATTTCTTCTTCTTTACCAATTCGTCATCAAAACACTCTGCTTCATCCACCCCAGCCCCACATATAATGATTCATTAAACAAAGGCTTTACTATTAATTTAATCAATTTATGTAAACAAATGGAATTCGCAAGACTAAATCCTGAAGAAACGAAAAGAAAAAAGGACCACTTACAGTTACAGTGTACTGTGTACGTATGAGCAAGATGATGATGATCGCATCATGTACAATTCATGGCACATGCTATAGGAATCTTAAAACATTTTAGAATGTTTATATCCTACGTTGTAGCTAAAAGATTTCAATATATCCAGCTTGCTAGTTGTTTGGTTTCTATTAACTATGACAAACAGGATTGGAAATCAAATAACATAAAGACTGGATTTCCAAGGAGAAGGACGAAGAAAACAGTTCATCAAGATATATGTAGATTATAGATAAATAAATTAATAGTTTAACATACATACTGTGATGCTTTTGGAGTGCAGCATGGACTGCATAGCCTCTGTGCAAGAGGCGGTGGACAAGAGTAGAGCCTAGGCGGCCGGACGCATCCATGACGCAGACTGTGGTCACCTTTGAACATGGACTAGTTTCATCAGCAGCATCATCATCATCAAAACTACGAATAGCTTCTGCTGCAGGAGCCATCGATGGATGGATGGATCAGATGGGATGGGAATGGGGGACGTATCTGAATTTCTGAAAAATGGATGGATGAATCATGAATGGGAGTCTAAATATAATCTAGGGAAAGCAAATGGGATATGGATTGCAATTGAATTAGGGGCCAGCAGCAGGTGCAAAGTCCAAGCACTTAATTGTGGAATTGATAGGTAGTTAGCTGCAACCTACAACTAGTACGAACAAGAGCAGTATTTAATGCGTGGGGGGGGGGTGGTGGTGGGGAGCGGGCTCATCATCAGAGGATAGAGGAGGAGAATGAGAGGACTCAGAGGATCTCTCTCTCACACAAACACACACTCTCTCTTTGTATTTAAGAAAGAGAGGGAAAGAAGGAAAGTCAAAATATTAAATCAATGAGGAGAAGGAGAGCATTGAGAAAGAGTGTGGTGTGGTCTCTCTTATTATTATCATTAATAATATATAAACAGAAGACAGTTCGGAAGATGAGCGTTGGGTGGACAATGGACCGTTCACCCTTGGAGAAGGGTGGGGACACCACCAATGCCATGCCAATTCCTACTAGAATATACTAGACTACACTAGACTAGGACGTATGTAATTGTCATGAATAATATATATAACTATCAGGACAGGACAGAACAGCACAGGAGGCCTCCTCAGAACCAGATTCATCCATCAAACCAAACAACTCTTTAGGATTCAGGACCAGATTAGATTATTCATAAGTAAACAGACAAAGAAGAGAGAGAGAGAGAGAGAGATTGACCCCTATTCATATGTTTTGGTTGTTTATTGACAGTTAAGCGACATAAAACAACTCAACTGTGCAGCCAAGCGAGCGAGCAGGCACGCCGGCCATACAAATTATTGTAGATGGAGCTGATGCTACCACACGTGAACGGTGAACCTAACTAAAAAATAGCCTAGTAGCTAGCCAACCTACAAGGCTACAACTGTGGATGCAAATTTTCTCCTCCTCAATCTTGGACGATTTTGCACCTACAAAACAACTAGCACCTTAGGTTAAGGCCAAAAGTCTCACGCGCCCACGATGAATGGGGGGTTTTGACCGAAGAACCTCCGATGCCAAAGTTAGAATTTTAGAGAGAAAGAATGTTTAGAGTATTTAGGATTTTTTGCAAAATGATTGGAATGAGTATTTGGTGAAAATAGGAGCCTATTTATAGGGCTAGGTTGGTCCATTTTAGAGAGGAAGTGGCCGGCCAACACTAGGTTTTATGGTTTAAATTTTTGGTTTAATTAGCCAATTTATTGACTAATTAAATATGAAAGAAATAAATGGGGGGTTATAGAGTTAATTATCTAATTTAATTTGGGCAATAAAGTGGGGAAAATAAGAAAGGTAAGGAGCATGGGAGATGGCCGGCCATTGCCTAGCTTTGGGATTGAATGAGATATATTTTGTGGTTAATTGGATGATTTAATTGATATTTAATGAATTAATTGGGTAATTAATCCATTAATTACCCAATTAACATAATAATTTGGAGGTTACCTTGCAAAAGGGAATTTGATGAGATAGACTTTGAATTGTTTACCTCTTTTGGAGCATCTTTGACTTTGTTGAAAAAAGATTGTTGACTGCTCGCGTGTAGAGATCCTGGTGTACCTTAGGGGTATTTTGGTCATTTCATGCTAAAATATCCACGTGTCGCATTTTAATTATTTTTGGTTCCACAACAACTACAATACAATTGATGCATGCAATTAAGTTCCTCTTCCAACATTGCAATAGATGAATAGAATTATGGCAAGTTATGTTAATATACCGGTATTAACATAGCAACAAGCTCATCATATTGGCATATTTTCCACAGCAAAACAACTTCAATTCAATCCAGACAAGGTGAGAACTGGAGGAATTTCTTCCCAACAATACTTGGACCCTGACGAGTCAGCAGCTCACATCTTTTATCCAAAGACATGGGTCAACAATACTGCAACACATGTTTAATGTTTTTAAAACAAGAGATGTGTTATGAATTGTTTGTTGGCCAAGCCATTGGGATTTCAAAACAAAATGACATGTGTTGCACTAGACCCAAGTATTATCCATTTCCTTGAGTCTCTGGTATTCTGCACAGGACATAAGGTGAGAATCAAAATCAAACATGTGCCTTCAGCTATCACTTCATGAGAAGAGGATTACATTAATACCTTAGGGTCGAAACAATGATAAGGAACCAACTATCTCAGAACGTGGCACTCGTTGAAATTCGCTAAACAGGAAGCTCTTGTACTTGTCTTCAAGATCCCCACCTGGGAACATGTAATACAACATTGCCAGTTCAAAATTATACATACATATTTTTACTAAACAACAAGGGGAGACAATGACAGGGTCATTAGGTTACTTTTAGCATCAAATGGTGGGATGTTCTCGGACAAACTTGATTGCACAAGCTTAGCCAAATCTTTGCCTGATTTATGAACAAATGAATTATATTGACTAAAATCTTAAAGGCAAAGAGTAATGCATTTAAGTCTAGAAACTCCTTAATTCACGAGACGATCTAGGGTGCCGGTGATTATATCAAGAGGCTCGACCTATGACCTCTCTAAAATTCAACAAGTAAGATGAGATCTTGTCATCTTTCGACTGCACAACCACGTAGAAAGTTTAATTGCTCACATATTTGATAAACGCATAACAGGATATTACCAAATCTATATAAATGGGCACAGCCTATTACTAGAGAACAATTATTGCTTGATCTGGGACAGAAATGGCGTAGCTAGTTCCATTGGATGAATAGACCAAGGGCGGGCATGAACTTCCCATTCTGATAACCAGCCAAGAAGTGATAAGCCGCCTGGCCACGGGAGAGCTTTGAAACACAAGGCCATCACACGCAGGACACATGAAGGGAAGCAGCGACTGTGGATTC